TTAACATTTATGAATTCTGCTAAGCTGCTCGTGGTTGATTTCCTGCAGTGTCATTGCAGTCGAACTTGATACTGGGAGCAGGCTGTACCCAAGTTTCTAGTAGACAGGGGGACTTTACAAACTGCGCCTTAGACTATCTGACTTTGTTTTCAGCTAATTTATTTTCGCTAACCTTTTGTGGAGTGGTAAGCTGCAAAACAATTTTATTACTTTCTGATTGAATTTCGTTATTTGATCCGCATGCACTCGGCGAGACAATAATCGAATTATCTCTTTGTGTCAGCACGTGTAATTGATTAAATTTGATTTTTTATAACTCCCTTGTTATTTTTTTTTTGTTTGTTTATTGGTTTGTACGACTTATCGCGCGCGGTTCACTCACAAAAGGCGCGCCAAAAATGGATGAAGAAATTAAAAACAAAAACAAAAGTTGCTCCAGCAAGCTTCATATATATATTATATATAATATATATATTTTTTATTGGCACTGCAGCCGCCAGTTTAGAGCGGACATTGATTTATGCACACATCTGTAGTTCACTTTGTAGTTGTCGTGTTGGGTATAATTAACCAATACTTTGGCGATTATATAGTCGCGTGCGACTTGCACAATATGCGTTATATGTATATGCCTAAGTCGGCGGTTCGAATTCACGTCCGTCGGCGGCAAAGTTCAGATTGAAACTGAGCGGTACGGTTCCCTCTTGATAGGAAGAGAGCTTTGGCTCGGTTGTTTCTCTCAGCTGTTCGCTCTTGACGATCGCCTGCACTCGGTACGTATACTTGATACGTATACGTGATAAAGAAATTGTACTATCGACAATCGCTGGTGATGGTTTGCTCCCAGATTTCCACCCTGCTACACTTTTCCTTTATTTATTTTTATTTCCGTTGTGCGTATTGTTTTCTTTTATATTTTTATTTTTCGATTCTATGACGTAACCCTGCGCAGAAAGGTTATAGATTTTTAAGTGGATTTGGAAAAGTGCTGAGATTTTTATAACACTCTGCAGGTGTTCCAATTTCGTCTAAAAATAAACATTGATTCTTTAAAAAATGTTTATTTTTTGCAGGGATTGAAAAAGTATTATTATTAATGGTTCATAAAAACCATAAAAATTAGGAATTCTTAAAATGTTGCTTCAGATGAACTCTATTCTCGTTTTAAAAACGTTAAAAGTATTTGAAATGCCTTAAATATTTAAAAAATGATCAGGTTTTTAGCCTAAGATCAAAAAGATTCTTAAGGATCAGAAAAAAAGCATAAAGTGATTCACTCCGGTTTCATGGTTCCAAAGCCCAAAATATAAACATTCGCTTTTCATCAGATGCATAACAATGGATATATTTATTAAATATAGGTATGACAGCTGAATATTGTTATTGATTTTCCCCGGAATTGACAGACGTGAATCTATCGTGACCCTCGGCAAATGTAAATTATAAAATCCATATAACGTTGCTAATTCACACAAGCACACAAAATCCCAAAAAATACATAGATATTCGCCAGCATCTAAGGTCGAACTGAGTTATTAACTCAATTTTTGGCTTCTGTTCAATCGACAGATTTTAGTCGTTTAAATAAACACAAGTGCAGGCCAAAACGTATAGGGGGAAAATATTTGCAGTTAACATTGCCAATCGGGTAGAAATATTTCATTATTGTTGTGCTTAAATGAAAATAGTGAAATTTATTTCTGTTGGCCCACGGATTTTCTGAACTAAAAACAAAGTTTTCATGCAGCGTAGGTTGGTCTGTGCCGAAAATGCATTTTGTGAGTCAATATGCCGCGACGATTTATGTCTATATGGGATTATACAAAAAAAATACCTGATGACTTGCAAAAAAATAATGCAAATATATTTTTTTTGGGTATATATATTTACATTGTTAACTGAAAATATACGTCCCTTGTTGTGTATTTTATTTACCAATACTTGAAAAATAAAGTTCTCAACATAAAGTTTGTATATTTTCTTTTATATGTTTTACTTGTAGTTCAATTTAATATTTCAAATGTATTTATTTTATAAATATTCAAGCTATTTTTTAATGCTTATTATATGTAAACCGATCGGCAGTATTGTAAAAGTTACGGGCGAACTTAAATTAAGTTAAGTTTTAACCTAAGACATAAAATAATTATGTTTTCTGCATTAAAACTGGTATAAACTATGTTCAAATTTGAAATGAAACTTTAAAATATATCAATTGATATTGATATATTAAATTTTGATATTGATATATCAATTAGTATGCAATGAGTCATAGAAATTGCTGAAGTTTTTGAATGGAAATTTGTTGGTAACATGACTTTTATTTTACATTTACCTTTTTTAAATAAGCGGAACTAATAAAATACTTATTTTTGACCACCAAATTGGCACAATAGCAAATGATGCAAAAGCGATCTGTGCAGCTAAGAGAATCCAATGCGTACATATATGGTGAATATCCCATGACGTAGGAGCTACTCCAACTCAACAAAGACGTCACAGAAATCTGAATCTCTTTATAGAGCTTGTTTTATGCGCTCGCCAAAGAAGAAGACAAAGAGCGGGAGAAGTCAAAGACACAGCTACCACATCCACCTTACTCTTCCCCCAAGCCACCCCCCTGCAATTCTGGCACATGTGTGATTCAAGGTCACACGCGTAAGCGGGACATTGCTAAAGAGAAAGACTAAGAGAGAGGGAGAGGGAGAGAGAGGGACTGCAGACAAACAAAGCCAAGCCCCAAAGAAATCGGGGGGCGGATGGCTGGCAGGGGGAGGGGCGTAGCAGTGGAGCGCATAGTTGAGCAACCACTTGTTGTTGCTGCCGCTTTTATTGCTCCTCTTCAGTCAGCGCCAGTTTAAGGCCAACTTTTGTACACTGAAAGAAATATACTATATTTTTAAAAAAAAACATTAAAAAAATATTAAATACTTGAATTTTGTATTTTAAAAAAATTCAAATCATAAATTTGAAACTTGCATTTTTGAAAAAAAATCACCTTTTAACTGAATTAAAATAAAACTAATCAATAACCGTCTTAGGTCCATACTACATATAATCCGTTTGTTAAGAAAAATGTATTATTATTTCTTAGCAAATCCATAGTTTTAAATGTATATAATTAAAAAAAAAACAAATATTAAGTAATATAAATTGTATAAAAATATGGCCTAGGAACAAAAAGATCAAATGTTAACAAGAACATCAGAAACTGGCCCTTAAAATTATATCAATACAGTCTTTATAAGCAACAAAGATAATACAGACCATATATTTTGTAGTCTTTGTAAGCAATATGTTACTGATAAAATTTTTTATTGTTGAAAATATCTTTCTGGATATGAATGAACAAAAATAAGTTATAGATATTATGTTTGAATTTGTTTTACAAACAATTTCTAATAAAAGTAGTTCCTTTCAAATATTAAGTTTCTTGCAATGATGGAGTCCAACTGAAAGGTCGCCGTCGCCCTCAAAAGAGGCAGAAAAACACAGCGCTTAGAGCATTAACATTCAAGACATTCGGCTGGGCTACAATGGTGATAAGAGAAAGAAGCGGATGGCGGGGAAGCGTATCAATAACACAAGCAGCAATTTTTTTAACGAACTCAAAATGTTTGCCCAACAGAAAAACATGATAAAAAGTGACTCAGCTCACTTCGTCGAATCCAAATGCCCTTCCGCAAACACTATAATTGCCCCTCAGGGGTTAAATATTTATGAAAACAATAAACAATTGTAGATGAAACATCGAAAAAAATAGGTACGTCACAGCTCAAAGTTCAATTAGAAAAAAAAATAATAATAACAAGACATCGTTTACTGATAAGGTATTCCGATAATGTTTTCTTAAGACTTTCATATAAGCGCGAGATTTATCGGCTTCTGATTTATATACATAGTGTTATAAGCAAATGTTCTACATAGAAGGGGCAGTTGTACTCAGATATTTAGAGTTCCGAGCGTAAATAAATCAATTTAAAATCATAATTATTTTTAAAATTAAGAAAGTTATAAACTTATATTATTTTAAATGAGTTTGCTTTCAGCTTAATAAGTTAATAAGCTTATCCGAGAACATACTCTACGATTTCGGCAATTTTTGGCGTGACATACAAAAAGAAAACGTAGAGGTGGTAAAAAAACCTGTCCGTCTGCCTTGTCTTGGTTTTTGGTTTTGCAGCACTTGATTGGCTTTTGGATTCCCCGAATCACAGATGAATCATCACCTCACCTATATACATACATTCGAATATGAAATGGATGTGGCTAACCAAACACGATTGTAACCCGCGCACACCATTACTTTCAATTGGGGCCTTATAACGTGTGTGTTGTGGTGTTTGCCCATGCGGAAATCTGCTGAGAGCAAAATCGCTCCAGAGAGCTCTACGTCGATCATCAACTCCGGAGAGTGGGAAATTTTGGGGTCTGGTGGTACGGGGGCAGGGTTGCCATTCCAGTTTCCCAGTCACTTTGCATTGTCGCATTACATAATCGGTAACTGCAGGAGTTGTTTATAAAGCGCTGGAGTTCCGCATGCAATGTGGAGCTTTTGTTACCGATGATGTGGATGTTGTGAGTGTTGCATTTCTTACACTGGTAAAAAAAATGGTAGTAACAACACGTATCCTACATGTATTTTACAAAAATTTTGGATTTCAAATGTTGAATGAATTTTTATAATTCAGAAAATTTTATATTAAACCACTAACATACAATACAATACAATCTAAAAACTCAAAACTAAAATATATAATCCGGATATTACCAAAATTTAAAAATTCGCAATAAGAAAAAACAAATCTACATAATTATTTTTAACTTTATTTGGATATTTTTTCATTCAAAAACAACTCCAAAAAAATTGTTTCATTTCTTTTAAGACTTTTAAAAGTTGTTAGGTTAGGTCACGTGAAGTGAGGCCCGACAATTATAGTTTTTACAACTAAAAATTCAATTTCTTTTTTTTTTTGTGTACGCTTTTTACTTTGACCATATCAAGGTTGTCTGATCCCAAGTCTCGAAGCCACTGACTCCAGCATTTCACAAGTTTAGGTAACCTTTACACAAATGGAGATAGACGGCAATTTTTTTTTGCTTTTAGAGAATAAAAAACAACTTCGCGAAGACGCAACAACAAGATACAGCGCAAACATTCTTAATTAATTAATGTGTCAGCAATTTGTGAGGCCAGAGAAACGAGTGGGCGGACTGGGGATTAAAACCTATTGGCATTTCTCACTAGAACTGAAACTGGAAACGAATCCTCAATCGTAACTGCAGTTGCAAAGTTTACTATTATTTGCTTTTATTCCGATCGAGGAATGTGAATTTATTGTTCAAAGGTCAGCTTTATGGCTGGTGTCGTTTAAGTAACGAAATTTCCATAATGAGCTTTATTCAACGAAATGTGATCTTTAGAACTGAAAGAATTTAACACTGCGATAGGTAAACAAAGTTTACCTGATAAAAAAACATGATAAAACACTTTCAATCAAAAACAGGTGAGAAAACAATTATTTCTTAAATCAGGTTCTTTTGTTTAAGCCAACATAAATGTTAGAGAGCATTTTTTACAAACTTCAGATTTCATATTTGTTACAAAATTTTTTGTTTGGCATACACTACGAAAAAAAAATTTTACAAATGAAATTTTTTAGCAATGTTTTTACTCTTTTCTCGGTGTTGTAATTTGACTCTAGAACATGAATAATACATAGCACCAAATCTCAATTAAATCATTATACAAGAACAACTTACATTTTACAAATGCTTCTCGGTAATACATATTATCTATTTATAGGGTAATCGGATTTTAAATGCCAGTTCCACAACAAAAATGGTTCACTTTTTACCCCTCAATAATGCAGTTACTTTCCTGGAATAAAATGGAATTCAAGCACATTTCTAAATAATAAAACATCACAAATTCTCGGAAAAAGAGGCGCGCGCCGTTTAGTATTAGCTTGATTCCAGTTAACACGTCAGTTTTATTTGATTGGCTTTAACAGGGTTCCAGTCTTAACCGCAAAACAGGTCACCAGAATATGACGTTGATTTGGTAAATGATCGAGTGATGATTTAATTTTTGTAATTAAGTAACTTTTTCCCCAAGACGTAAGCACCTGGGAACTGCGATCAAACATGAGTAAGATCCCCCCGGAGACCTGTTTGGGCTTTAATGGGTCTGCTGGGATAAACCCAATTTCATTGATGTTCTGGCTTGGGCGAATGCGCTCTTAATTATTTATAAACAAATCGGAATTTTGTAATCGAACAGCACAAGATTATTTATAGGCAGAACTCACCTAAATCAGAATTTCCAGCCGTGGCAATAATTCAATATGCTCTGTTTAAATTTCGATATTTAGTTTAGATTTTCAAATTTTATAGTTCGTTTGGATATTTTTCGTTATATCACACACACACACACTCACTGATAGACTGAAGCTCTTTTGTATTCGATTCGGTAAAATAAGTTATTTAGATTAATTCTTCAAGAGTTTTATGAGCATATTTCGGAATTAATTGGACGTTACTTGTTCGAAATTCGTAATTTTTCTTTTCAAATTTGTAAGGTGGAGTTTTTGAGGAGGCCAAGAACCGTTTGCCAGCAGCGACGAACCGTTAATGAAGCCACCGACGCCTTGGCCACCACGCAGAGCAGACTTTCGCCCACCACCCCCAGCGAATTTCCCACCCAGCCACCCATCCGCCACCCAAAAATCACAAAAACAACAGCGCACAAAGTTGTCGTAGGGCCAAAAGCTTTTGCTGCCCGCGCAGACTCCGCAGGCGTGGTGGGTTTTTCAAAAAAGCTCCAAGTGGTGAATTCGATTTGAACACTAATTTGGCGCCTAATCTAGCGGAAATGGAGGCCCCAGGGAAAATGAGCCGCAAAATAAGAAAGCGGATGCCGCCACCGCTTTAGGTTACTCACAATGTGTGAGAACTCAACCGGATGTGCTGACTAAGAGGTCGGGGGACAGAGTTCGCCGCAGGAAACTTTTTTGCCTTTGAACCGAGTGTTTACTTGTTGAACCGAAATTTGTCTTGTGGCAATCAAATGTATTCACAAATGTACAGTCAACAGTTCAACAGGCATTTTAAGGAATTAAGAGCATTATTTATTATACATAGCTCTCTAGGAAAAATACTTTATTATTAAAAACAAAAATACACTTCTGAGTTATAATCTAATTAATTGATTTAACCTCTGGTTTTATTTTTGTTACAAGTTTGGAATTGTAAATTAGAAATTGAATACAAATTTTAATAATATTGTGTTATATAATGATATTAAAAACGATTTTTATACTTGGGTGCCGACCACCAAATAATCAAAAAAAAAAATTTCCAAAGTAATGGGGCTAGTAGGTCATTTCCTTAACTTCATCAGTTGCCAGCTAGCTTCTATAACCAGAATTCATTTGCCTTACTGATTTCTGTACGTTTTTAGCAAAATAAAAAAGTGTTTTTTGGTACTTTTCGAGTTTAAATATTAATTTTGATAACAATGTTGCCCAAAAGTCCACGCATTCGTCAAGGAAAACAGACTGGCCTGTCGTCAATCCCTCAGAAAGGGTCGCCCAGAGCGCTCTATTCCAAATCTCTTATTTCCTTACAGGCGAAGAAACGCCACATTTTGGGGCAGCGAAACGTGAAGAAGGAGAATGTGTGAGTTCTGGGATCAGGTATCCAATAATATTAAGATATATATTTTGTGTTTAATCCCCCATTAGCTTCGCAGACCAGGAGAACAACAAAAAGCTGCTGAACAAAATACCCAAGGCAGTGCTACTGACACCCTCCTCTTCGGACAACTCCTTGACCACCACGGTTTCCAGCAATGGCCAACCCAGCTACACGGTTATGCCAAAGACCAGTCTGCTCCGGGAGCCCTCCTCCTTGACCCCGTACTTGACCCTCAAACGTCAACAGACTTCGACTTTAATTAACTTCCGAGTGCGCAAATCGCTTTCCCAAATGGACTTCAAAGAGGCTCGTCGTACAGGAAGCTATCAGCTGATGACCCATGTGCCCTCGCCCACGAAATCTGTCCAGAAGTTGGCGCAGGCAGAGGCTGGAGCCTCGGGATTAGAGGGCAAGATGAGCCAGTTGGTGCTGCAGGACAACGCTCTAATTGAAGGACAGATGAGCTTTGTTGTTGGCCCAGATCAGGATGCCCGGGTGGCCAGCTTGAGGATCTTCAACACCATCATGCTGCACGCTTGGCGCAGGAGACGTGAGGAGGTTCGTCAACTTAGTGATCAGGTGGAGGACTATAAAAAGAGTGTGGGTATCAATAAAAAATATTATTTATATATTAGTTGTTCCCTTATTGTTCTATCCTAACGTTATACCCATAGTTCGTCAAGAATCGTAACCAGTTGCATGTCTATAACTCGCTATTTTCGGTGGAGAAGCGTCGCAATGAAACCTTGAATGATCAGCTCAGGCAATCCTATCGTGACAATGCCCAGACAAAACTCTCCTATGAAGAACTAAGTCTTATGATGGTTCAGGTTAGAACAGAGAAGGAGAAACTGGCCGAGGAGTTGGCCATCAAGGATCAGGATATCGGGAACCTGCAGGAAATGCAACAGTCCCTCAAATCGGAACTCTTCCAGGTGAATAGCCAGCAGCGGGAGCAGCTAGAGCAGTTGACCCGTCTGCAACGCGATTATCAGGAGAGTCAGTCTGCACAGGATGAACTGGTTCGCCAGCTGGATCTTCTCCAAATCGATCTGGCCCTCAAGCGGGATTTCATCGATCAGCTGCGCGAGAGTATGGCCAAACTGGAGGATCTTAAGCGGGGATCCGAAAAGCAGTACAGGTAAGGTTGCTGGAATCCAGGGAATACATAGCACCTTTTTAATATTTTAATATTTATCATTTAGCATGTTGCTCGAGCGAACCTTAAAAATGGAACGTTCCATCGAGGCAAAAGAGGAGCAGCTGGTCACCCTTCAGAATTGCTTGGCCGCCACCTTGGGTCAGAGGATCCGCCAGTGCTTCGCCCAGAGTCAGGCCTACCAACATGCCACATATCGCATGCTGCACTTCGTGGCCCACTATATGCTACCTGGTACTCCGCCACCGACACCTTCGTTTCCAGGAGCGGTTAACAGACTCAAGGGATTCTTTTCCCGGGGCTCAGAAAATGATCTTGAGGAGGACGTTAATTCTGACAATATCGAGAAGGTCGTTAAAGACCAAGACCAAGATAAAGAAAATCCCATTTAATAGTTTCTTGAAGTTCTTAGCTTCTTTATTTGTTTTTTGATTGCTTCTTGTTGATGTTTAGATTTTCAATATTTTTCCTTATGGTTGATATTGCTCATTAAATCTTTGTTGGAAGTTTTATGAAATAAATACGATTATCATAAAATTTGAATTATTTTAAATACAGTATTAATCCATTGTTTTTCCTAATCGAAAACGGTCAGAAATTTATTTTTACATAATTATGCCGTTCGAATAAATTTTTTTTAAATGTAAGTTAATTTAACTTCAATCAAATACAATGCATTAAAATTAGGTATACGAGAAGTGGAGCCTCACATTGGCCCGATTTATGCCGTAAGCCATCCAATTGCTATTAAATACATAATCTCCTTCAGGAAATGGTAATAATGAGCTAAATCGTTGTTTAAGAAATTGAGCGGGCAGCTTGTCCACAATAACATCATGCTATAAGTCAAATAGGAAATGTTAAATATTAACACAATAGAAGAAAAAACGTACATCATAGGGACATGGGTGGTTGATATTTGAATACTCTTTGATCACGCCGTACAGAAATGAAATCCAGGGACTTCCGTTATCGGCTACCATTTTGCAGCCATCAAAAGTAATATTATGGTTAATCGGCAAAAGACCATTTGAGCGCTTATGGAATGCGACATTCATCTAAAAGTAATACTACATAAGTTCAAAGATTTCTGGAAAAAAAATGTCCTTATATCGTACCGAAAATTGATGAACTGGTACCTTAAAGAGCCGAACCTTGAGCGACAAGTATTTATACGTGCGATTCGCAGCTTTAAGATAGCAATATTCAAAGTCGCTAAATTCCTTATCCAGGGTGGTACATTTAACATTGGTAAATTCCATACGATGATTTGCAACCTTTAAAAGATTACCGTTGGACATAAAATGAAACTGTCTTATTAAAATCTTACCGAATGCACACATATCAAATATATTATATTCAACAGCGCTGGATATTGTAAGTTCATTTCGCCTTCTAGATCTGTTTGAACAACCACTTGAATCAGAGTTATAGGTAGTACTGAAAAGTTGTCAAAATACCATGTCCATTAAATTCCCATTATTTTATAGTTCATTGCACAATATATGGTTTTCCTGTTTTTTAACTTACAATTGAAATGCAATTAAGTTTAATTTTACCTCATTATAAGCCGTTAACAGAAAATAAAATTAAAAAGCAAACAAATAATACTCGCTATATACTGCTAAAACGATTAATTTATTCATATATAAAAAACCTTATTTTCTACAAAAACACACATATTACATTTTTCTTAGGACTAGGTATTACAACACTAAAACAATCAATTAGACGACGACCAGGTCGATAAGTTTTAAGTCTACATCTTCATCTTACTGCCTCCTCTGTCTTTTTGCTATGTTTGTAATGGGTTCGTTTCAATAAGGTATTACGTTGATATGGATAGGTTTGATATCTGTAGATCTTCCGAGTTAAGCCGCAGTATCTGCTGATCCTCTGAGTTTATGTGCACCAATTGGCCACTATCGAAACTGAGCAAATTACTGATCGTGGGACCATTATCCGCTTGGTTGCCGGCGGTGTTATTATTATTGTTGGCATTGCCGTTGTTGGGATTGTTGTTGCTGGTGGCATTATTGTCGTACTGATTCATGGGCGGGGCATGTTGCTGCTGCAGTTGCTGCTGCTGATGGAGCGTGTGCTGGTTGTGCTGAAATTGTATAAATTAAAATAAGAAATATAGTGTGTTTTTGAAGAGAAATTACTTTAATGGAATAGTCAATTTTAAATCCAAAATTCTAGTGCTTTGCATTTATTTTTAAACTGAAAACCGTTCAAAAAACGCTGGAATACTTAAAAACAAAATTTGATCTTGATTAAATTGAACTAAACATATTATTTGAAATACCAAGATTGTTTAAACTGACATTGGAAATTACATTTTTCGTTTCCTATATTTTTGAAACTATTCTGAAATCCAAAAAAGGAGATGTAAAGCAAGACCAAGGTCAAAATCAAAATTACTGTGAGTAAAAGCGATTAAGGTATGTTTAAACTTCAAACTGCTGTGTTTCGAAAGTAATATTTTTTTGAAACATTTTTGTTTATATTTTGAAACATATTAAAATAAATTAGTATTATATATTATTTTTAGTTTGTAATTTCCAAACATTTTTTGATCCTAAGTATTAATCTTAAAAAATCTTTACTTTTGTTGTTCTCACCAGATGATTTGTGGTCAGGTTCCACTGAAGATTGCTGCCGTTCCCAGGACCTCCGCCGGATGTCAGCAGGTTGTGCATGGTGAAGGGATTGTTGAGATTACTGAGATTGTTGCTGTTGCCGTTGGCAGGTGTTGCTCCTGTCGCAGTTGCTGCTGCTGCTGCAACAGCTGCCGCCGTGAACTTGCTTTCCCAGTTGTTGCCACCGGGATTACCGAATGGATTGGCATGGAACTGCAAGGCCTGTTGCTGTTGCTGCTGCTGTTGATGTTGCTGCTGCTGCTGCTGATGTTGCTGCTGTTGTTGCTGCTGCTGTTGCTGGTGTTGCTGTTGCTGTTGTGCAAGGACCTGCTGGGCAAACGGATTGTAATTGTTGCCCAGGTCTGTTGCCCCATATTGTTGCTGCTGCTGCTGCTGTTGTTGCTGTTGCTGTTGTGGGTGGTTGGGCGACATCAGTTGCTGCTGGCCATTGGTGGGCGTGACCGCGGAGGCCATGTTGTAGGGCGAGGGGGTGCTGTTGTGGTTGTAGTTGCTCGACGGCGACAGAGGCTGCGGCGAGGGGGTGAGCTCGGGAGGTGCTCGATAAGCCAGGCCAAAGGGCTGTGGTGAGGTATCTACAGGATGATCGAACCCGTTTTTATTTTATTTATGAATTTTAACTAACAAATAAAAAATTGGAGTTTGAATTCTCAGCAGAGTAAACTTACCTCTTGGTTCCGTTTTAATGGGCGGTATTATTTGTGCATTCCAGCAGTTCATGTTAGTTTGTCCTAAAAAGCAAGCATTAAAATAAAATTAAAATAATAAAAAACAATAACTCATATCAAACATGAAAGTAAACAACAAACAATGCTCAATGAAACAAATTAGTTAAAAACAAATTAAGCCTTTGGATTAGCAAACAAAAAATGAGAAAATGCAGCACACTAATAAAGCATTAATTTAAGGTATTGGGGTAATAATTTGTAAACGGTTCAAAAATAAAAACATCTCTAAAATAATAAGAAGTCAAGACCGAAAAAAATAATATCACCATTATACGTCAGATTTTATGCGAAATTGTTTTCTTAAAACTTTTGATAAAATCCTAATTTTGGTTAGATTTCTAAGACAAAAGTTAGTGTGGCGTAAAATTAAAAAAAAAAAATAACTTGGTTGTAAATTAAATTAATTAAAAATGAATAGGCCATGCAACATCATTATAACAAAACAAAAATGTATAAGCCCAAAGAAACTTTCTGGTAAAAACTTACTCAGAACTGTAAAAACTTGTTTGAAGTAAGGAAATCTAGAGCAAAACTTACTTCAACCTATAAACAGTTCCGTTTGAATAAAACATTTTTCATTTGATTATTTTCTTTTTAACTTGTTTTTTTTCTGTTTTATTAAGCTACTATATTTTATACAAAATATTTTTACCAAACTTGTAATTTTTCAATATATAAAAAATATCAAATATTCTTCGCATTTAAACGAGTAGAAAAGCGACAAAAACTCCATATTGATTTCAAATCAATCTCTCACCCTTGACTACAATTTCGACTATATAGATGTAAATCAATATATAAATATAGTAGGGACCTTCTTCCCCACACAACAGTATTCTCCTGGTGTTTATATTTTTTGGTGATTGTGTGCATTGAGTGAGTGCTATCTAATAGTTGCTAAGAGTCTATTCGATTAATACATCATCAGAGGCGATGAATAGTTAAGTTAAGTCTTTGGTATACCGAAAAAAGATCAAATATATAAAGATATTTGACTAGGTAGGATTCTCAATTAGATGGCTGGCATCTCAAAAACAAAGTATGCACCCCAGTTGGTCCAAACTCACAGGGGGCGAAAAGTAGACTCAAAGCCAAGAGAGACACAACAGAGGATAGGATATAGAAGACCGACACCAGTTTATGGGAAATCTAATCTCAACAGTGAACTTACTGCCATCCTGGTGGTCGTTCTGCAATTGCTGTTTCTGCTGCTGCTGGAGCAGCAGGTGCATGGGATCACCGCCAGTCTTCTGACGTTTCCGCCTCAAGTGCGCTGGATCTATAAGACAAAATATACACACCGTGTTGTAGGCACATACAAAATGGGGTTTTCGGTTTCAATTTTAAACAATACATTCGATTCCATTTGGGCGGAAATCTTACTCTACTCTGAAAATTGAGTGATTTCTCTTATAAATACAATAGTTAGGTTGGCCCTTCAAATGGGCCACCACCTGGACAATAACAAATTGGTTTTGACCCCATTGTTTTGGGGTTTTTTTGCCTGGTATCGCTTACAAAATATTCAGGGATACTTTTAGCACAATTATCAAATATAAAACAAATACAAATTCTTGAAGGTTCTGAAAAGGAATTTCTCTTCAGATGCCCTCACACAAGTGGACAATTCGTGGCGCCAGAGATGATGGAAATGGATTCCGGGAAAATACAATTTTCCCCTCTGGCTTGAGGCCAACTTTCTTCGTTTTTTTTTAATGGGTATCGTTGGAGGGTTTTGTTCCTTCGGTTCGTTTGCCTATAAACAATCTATTCAACAAATTTAGAGGCCATTGGCCGCCGCCAAGCGCCTGGCCACCTCGTCGGGCGTCAGGATCTCTCCTGCATCCACGGGAGCATAGTAGGCGGAGGTCTCATCGAATTCGCTGGCCGCCGCAATGGGCGGAATACTCGTGTACAAGGCGAAGTGCTCGGCCTCGGTTAGATCCAGATTGGGATCTAGTTGAACATTGAAGTGCCCCTCGATGGAGCTGACCAAATTGTGCAGACTCTGGCGATCGGCAATGGCTACCAGTTCCATGCCGCCCTCGCTAATTGGTATGTCGGCCAGTTGCAAAGCGGATGCAGTGCGTCTATCCAAACCACCCATCGAAATCGTACTCGACTGGGAGTAGCCCTCGTTTCTATGATGCTGGGGCAAACTATTGGCACTGTCACCCTTCAGGGGTATGTGCACCACATCGGCATTCAGATAGCCTGGTCTCTTGCCGGAAACACTGCTCACACTCCTGCCCACCGGTTTGGTCAGCTTGGAACCCGGTCTCTTGGCCTTCACAGGACTGGATTTGGCTGGTGGTGGACTAGAGATGAACGGAGCCGCTGACTTGGAGGAGCGCAGGGATGCCCTCATGGGATCCTGCATGTTAAAGTGACCTATGCTGGGCTCCCGGCTAGTAGCCTTGGAATCCAGCAAAGAGGAGTTCTCCTGCCCCTGGGCTAGATCGGGTTTGCTCTTGCGTCGCGAGAAGAGTTTCGAGAAGAATCCCGGTTTCTTCTGTCGCGGTAGGGTGTTAAAGTTCGGATTCTTCGGAGCGGGAGGGAGTCTTTTGTTGAGCGGAGATTCAGCTGTGGCTGGCCTGGGCGGAGCCGTATTGGCCTCGATGGAACGATTCTCCACATTGTTGTCCTGTTTCCGAATCCTTTTCGGGGGCAAGGGCGGAAGCTTCTCCTCCTCCGGCGGAAATGGTACCGTTAAAATGGCCGGCGGCGCTGGAGGAACTGGTCGTAGTGGAGTCTCTGGCTTGCTTGCCTGTGAGTTCACCTCCACGGGATCGTAGTGCTGATGGGCATCCTCGGGAGCGCATTGCGACATGGGCGGCGTGGGGGGCATTATGTCCTCCATGGGTATGAGAACGGGATTCTTGAAGGCAATCTGCAGGCTGGTATAGGTTGCAGCATCATCGAAACTATCCTCCACCTGGAGCGGAGCACGTCCCGCCATTCCAGCCAACATCTCATTTTGTATGGTATTATTGTATGTATCGCGTTGCACCTTAAAATCGGTG